CCTGTGTGAGACAATGGTTCTTGAGTCAGTCACATGCTGTTTTCTCTCAGGTGACACTCTTGCAAAAGTGCATTTAAACACATTTACTGAGGCAGAAACATTAAAACTGTCAGACTCCGTCCCCCACTCCTCGACTTCTTTGAGGTTGTGTTTACAAAACAGGTGACCTACTAACAAGTACACTATACTCTTTCATCTCAGCATGCACACTGCACACACTACAATGCCTTTTCCACTTTCCCCAAACCACCACAGCACAGTTCCCGATCACATGCCAGTAAGAGGAGAGATGAAGAATAGCACTTTGGTTTATCTCGTCCTTACAGTTGCAGTTTTTCCCTTTAATAATTCTGGCGTATTCTCTGGAGAACACCTTTTGTTGTGCACACCAAAACTGGCAACTCGACAGGGTTTACACAGCACAGAGACATTTTTTTTACTCCCCGTCTTGACATGACTTCCAACAACTGAAACAGCGTCACGCCGTATTCGACATTCAAAGTAAACACAACAGTACTTTCCCAGCGTAGTTATGTCGTTGAAGTCTCTAGTGATTTTATATTTGGGTGTGTGTTTATGACTGTAGTTCAGGCTGCACTCACCGACTGCTCAGCCACGCATGAATTGTCAGTACATGCAGGCAGTGTGCACAGTGGGCTAATAGCCCACAATGACCACTCCACTGCAGAGAGAGAGGCCATGGACAAAGCTATCATTGTGATTACAGTAATGACCAGGGACTGGAAATGGGTGTTTAGAGGTTTGCAGTGAGGATGAGAGCCACGTCAGCTTAATCTGGAGGGGCGGCATGCTGCATGCGGGCTCCTGCTGGCGAGGGGTAATGGTCCCCATGTGTAGTGCACTGGGCCGCATCCCATGGGGCAACGCACACACTGGAGGCCACTTGAAAGCCTATATGGATGTAGCTGCAATCAGGGACAGAACAAGCACACAGGGGAATAATCTGTTCCAGGGATGAGACTCTTCATATGTGTGTGTTTGGGTATGTGTTGGTGTGTATGCACGAAGGGACTTATGGCTTTATTTGGACAAGGTCACGGTTAGTCAGATGAGGAAAACAAAGCACACACTCTTGTGACACTTTTTTTTTTTTTTTTTTTACACAAACCATGACATTGGTCGGAAGTGCTGCTGCTCTATGCTGTAGTTGCAACATTCAAATCCCCAAAGCGACATTTTTTTATGTTATCTAATGGATAAAGGACAATACATTAGCATTAGGGGGCCCTCAGAAAATTGTGAAGTGTGAAGATAAAAAAAAATGCAAAAAACTGCCAAAAACATGTTGCTAAATAGTCCTATTTAAAAAAGAAAATGATAATCAATGCATTCTACAATTTGACCTCATAGCTAGTATGTAATAGTATGGAAACCAACAACCATTTCTTCACTACAAATGTTTTTTGTCACTCACATACACACATTAAGGTACAAAAAGCACCTGGTTAGTGAGAAAACATCCTGGTTTTTACCAAACTGTGGTTGTCTGCTATTTGGCAGACTATAAAAACACACCAAAATGTCCCTTGTGGTGGACGGTTTGTCGTGTGGATACTTGGCTCTCCATGTGAACACACGCCAGACTGCTCTCCAAAACACACAACACTATTCACAACAGCTTTTTTTTAGTCCAAAACTTGTGGTGTACTGGTCAGAGGACATCTGGTGGACACCTTATCTATTCTAATGTCACTCTGACTCTTCTGTTTACTACAAAATACTCCATCTACATACTACATCTCTAAATTACTTTTTATATTATAGTGTCATTTTTGTAAAAAAAAAAAAAATGGGGAGGGGGGGTCCAAACAATGAGTTTTAGCAAAAAATGGCACCTTACAGTGGCAACTCAAATTTAACATAGAATATACACAAACCTTACAGTGGCAACTCAAATTTAACATTACAGAATATACACAAATGGGTGTGAAACAAACAAACCTGTTGATATTCCAAAAGCAATACGTTTATGTGTTCTCAGAAACAACTGGTAACTGAAGCATGTTATTGATTAACTCTGCTATACCGTGATTAAAAAAAAGTGATTTTACATAAGAAGGTATACATAATTTTTGCCCACTTTAAAGTGAACTCTGAACTTTCATCAACATGTGTTGCTATTATGGTGTAGTGGTAGGCTTCCTGTGTCAACACTTTCTGAAAATGTAATCTACTAATACGACAACACACGATGAAGCTACAACACGTTTTCCTCCCATTATCAATGCAACAAATAAAGCAGTTGTTCACATACTTAATATGTATGTTAACATGTTTAACCACTTTCTCACATCCATCTACCTGCCATTGGAACGCAGTGACAAAATCATCCTAATTGATGAAATACCTGACTGGAATGGCAATAATGGTTAAAACATTCTTAATTACACCCCGGTTTATCAACCCAACTGGTGTTCAGTTTTAGATTTGTTTTCCCTGACAGTTCACCAACAGTAAGTATTGGTTATGGTTTGACTATTTTGAGATGACTACTTGTGACCCTGTCAGGCAAAATTAGCTTTTAAACCCAATGGAATACATCACGTCATTGTCGTGCCATCCTCCTAAAGTAGTTGAGGTGAAGAAGAGGAAGCAGGGAAAAAAAATGAAAGGCTATAATCAGTAGGCAGTGACCCAGAGGAGGTCACCATGAGCCTTGGGGAGTTGACTGATGAAAAGTCCAATCAGCAGAGCAGATGACGATTAGAAGGTGCCCCAGGCTGTGATGGAGAGATAGAGGTAAAGGAGAGCATGAACGGCAGAGCAACAGTTAAATTCTGAGCTGAGCAGAGAAGAGCTGCTACAGGTTTCTGGAAAACACAAAAATGTTCATCATCTATAAGTGAGAAGGAGCGAAGTCCCTTTAGGTCAGCATGAAGAAGCAGAAAAAGAGGTTAAAGGGAGGGTGTTGATACTTTGTCACAGTTCTGGTTAATTGAGGAAAGACATGTTCAAATTTGGTGTTTATTTGAGTTTACAGCCGTTCACTGTAAAACTATTACTTCATGATGCTGTAATGTTCAACCACTAAATGTAATAAACTGCAATCACTGCATTCAACTGCCTTTCAGGGCAAAAGTATAAAACATAACGTAATACACTTTAAACTTTTCAGAAGATAAATTTTTATGGATTTATTTTTTATTCAAACATTTGGAATTTATTAGAATGAGAAAAGAGTATGCAACAGAATGAGAAGTACACGGACCACTCCAAACATTTTTTTTTTCAAACCACTTACTTCTAACTTCTTCCCCACTAAAAGTTTTAACTCATCACACTTGATATTTTTTCTCAGCTACACCCTGTTTCACATTAACACCTACAAACTGCCCCCAGAACAACCACAGCTCTCTGACCACTGAGGAGCTCACACATGAAGAATGAGGGATTTGTGACCATGTTGGCCTTTGATTGCTTCAATGTGCAAAAGATGGACAAACACAATGGGCCATTTGACATCAGCTTTGTTCACTTAACCCGAGTGGGATGTCACCTGCAACTGATCAACACAGGCAACTGTTTAATAGTGTCAGGGTTTCCAGATCAGGAATGAAGAACTCTTGTACTCTTGTTGCTTTAAAACATATATTTTTACCCAAAATATTCTGTAAAAAATATATATGTACTAAAACAAATAGCTTTAAACACCACATACTAAGACTTATTAATAAATAAATAAATAATTATATATATATATATATGTGTGTGTGTGTGTGTGTACAGAACTGCAAAAACAAGCAACAAACATAAAAGTCGGTAATTGGATGAAATTCACACTTAAACTCATCTTCCATACGTTTGCTCCTCTTCACACAACCACTACCTCAGTCACTACTAAAAACTAAGCACTGACATTACACACTACATCCAAACACTTTAAAATGGAATTTAAAGAAATCACTCAACATCAAATATTGAATTACCACTACTAAATTGAAACACAGCAAGAGAGCAGAACTCATGTGGTTGCTTTATCGCTCATTCGTTGCAAACACTTGGAAACTGAGTTTTAATTTGGAGCTAGAGACTTGACTTCATGTGTTTTTCAGAACCTTAGCCTTTGTATCCCTTCAACATGTATCCCTTCAACATAGCTACTCAGTCCCATAAAGTGCAGTATAAGAACATTGCTAAAGGATCTTTAGCGTGTTCGTGTTTTCCTCTTTTATTACTTTTCAAGTCTGTCCTTAGTTTGAGGTGGTACCAGTTGCAGCTGCGCAAACAAACAGAGAAAGAGCAGAGTGCTACAGATATGATTAGCACTTAGGATAGCAGGGGGGTATTCCAGGTAGCAGCACAGGTAAATCCCCTATTTACCAAAACAGAATAAGAACTATGTTGAAATACTGAAAATTATTAATCTGGCCTAGAAACGAAATTTACAACTTGACCTATGGCCCATATGTCAAACTGGCCACTTAATTAAGTTTAGAGACACCTTTCATTTCCTTTTCACCAAACAACAGTTTTTTGTTAGATATATTTGTGGAATCATGTAAACAATACGCCTAAGACAAAAAGGCTCATGGTAACAATTTTCACTAAGATTAAAAAAAAAATCGTAATGGCTTTTGAAATTGATAATGGTTGCAAAATAATTGCTCCTTTCCTCTGCACGTAATTTGGGCAGTCTGAGTGCATTGCTCATCTTCCAAGTTTTGTGTACATTACCCTTTTTTTCCATAAATGTAAAAATGAAAACAGACCACAGGTCACGTCATTCTGGTCACAATCAAACCATTTTGTCAGTGCAAACATGTCAGCTTGAGTCTTTTATGTGTATTTAATGTCTTCACTCATACCCTCCTCCCTGTGCATTTTGCTGCTTCCAGTCTAAAGATATACAAGTATTCCAATAGTTCTAGACCTGCTTCCAAAACCTTAAGGGTATGCTATGAAATAAATGTGTCCCAGATTCCCAGTGCAGATAGGAAACTTGTGAGGTTAAGCTGAAAAAATACTCTCTCCTCCCTTACCAATTATTGTTGACGTGTCCTCAAGCAAGGCACTCATTCCAGGTTTTGTCTCTGTGGCTGTAAATAGCTGTTGCAGGGCCGACTTTGTACTGGGAACAACTTCAAATCCAGGAGCTCAGACAGGGATTTCCATTGTTGTTTATCTCTGTAAAAATAAAAACAGAGCAGAGAAATTACATCTTTCCGAAATATAGACTTTGGCCGGTGTAGCATTTCCCTAATACAGCTTGAATGCGTCTAAAATATCAGTCTAAAAAGATAAGAACTGTTTGTTGCACTATGAATCAATTGCTGAGAGGACAGTGACGGTCATCTTAAAAACAGCCCTGCACCATATCCGCCTGCTGTGTCTCAAAATCCTGCCACATTCACAAGAAAGTAAAGCCTGAAGAGCTTCTCTCTCAGTCACACACTATCGTCTTTCATCTTGGCACATAGACACACGGAGGAGGTTAATAAAAGCCTTCAGATGAAGAATGAGCACAAATTACCCTTAAAATTGGACAGGGCTGGTTATAATTGCAGCCATTGCTCGGTGGTTTCGTTATACAGATGCCATCACCCTTTAAGTTGCGTTGGTAATCGCCGCTCTTCAGGATGCACCAGGAGGTTGTGACATCCTTCATTCTGGACCTACTTGTTCGCCTTCATCCATATGTGTTTCTGCTTCCCTTTGCCTCTACAGAGTCATTGAGTTTCAAAAGCAATCTGGGCTCAAGGCAAAGGCAACTCAACTGGGGTTTCATCTTTGCTCCTTGTCTGTCCTTTTTTTTAAAACAAACTATTGCTCCCTGTACTCTCAGTCAAGGCCTTGCATTGGTATTGATTAAAGCTTTTAAGGCTTTTTGTCTCCTATACAGAATTTTCGAGTTAGTTGCAAGCAAAAAGAAACACTAGATGTTAAAGATGGTGAATACAAATGGTGGACAAACAGAAAAATGCTGATTGTCGTACAGATAGAAATGGATTTTAAAACGAATTTACCAATTATATTATAGCTATAACTTATTAATTAGATTTCTAATCCATTTTTCAGTACAATGAAAACAATCATCTACAGAATTTAACGTTAACAAACATTTAATACATCTGCAATATTCTACACTTAAACCCCACTTCAAACTCACATTAAAGTGAAATTATTTCCTTCTTTAGTTAAAATATAATAAAATATAACTTCATAGCACCAGAGTAGCTATAACAGGCACATGTTTATCAGCGTCTGTGTTTCTAGCTGAGTGCACAATGTTGGGGTTCTTTAGCGACAAAATAGACACCGAATTAGCATTAGCATGGACGATGAAAGTATTCACGGAATAATTTTCCAATAAACGATCAGTCTTACCGAGGTAACTCATTTCCTTCATTCAGTCACTCAGCTGCGGACTCTCGGCAGGTAAGTGTACTGGTGAATCCGGCTCCTTTCACAGTGTACTCGCCGTTTTTCTTCGTCCTTTTTGCAAATAGCTAACTTCCTTTCCGCTGCTGATATCGTAAAGGACCCGAGAAACATCGCATATGCACCTCACTTCCTGCGTACCTGGCTGTTGAGGGCTACAGGCCCACCCCCTCCGCCCCTCACGTGTATCGAGTGGTGCATGCAAGTGTAATAGGACATTTAAAATGTTGGCGATGTGCACCATTGATTAAAGATTGATTAAATATACACTGTTATTATTATGCTTTTCACACCAGGGCTACAAATAATTCCCATTAAATGTCGCAGATGACATTCTAGGAAGTTGAAAAGTTTAGTAAATTGCACAACCGCAAGCATCGTGTATTTTGAGAGACAAAAATGAAATAAAACAGGTTTTATATTTTTCAACTGCACCATAATCCAGCTCTGGAATCGTGAGTTGCTGACCCTTGGTCTAGATCAGAGAAATCTGAAACATCTCTCCCAAGGCCATATTACAGGAGTAAGGCCATAAGATGGCACAACGTTGCACTGTCTTCCCTGTTTCCTAATAGTTCCCACCACACCCTTGCTTTTCTGCTTTCATTATTGCTCCCTTCTCCTAGTTGTGGAATTTGGTTTTGAAAGGGTTGTAGGAGCAGAGCCCCAGTTTGCTCCCTGACTGGGTGTAAATCAGTGGTACAGCTAATAGAACCACATCTGTAACAATAAAGACAGGTTAATGTGAAGTCATCTTGGAGGAGCAGAGTTTGCATCTGGGAACATCTGGAGAGACATTTGGAACTGCCTAAAGTCCTTCTCCAACTCATTTTTCTCTCTTATTGCCTCATTTTCTGACTTTAGGTTTGTGTTAGCCTCCTGTCCTTTCTCTTCTTTGCCATTTCTCCACCTTTCACCTAATTACTTCTACAATTCCAATAAGGTTACTACCACATCGGGTTGTCTGTTTTAACAACTCATTTCCTTCCTTACTTCATTTTGCTTTTTCTGCTGGTATCCGCCTCACCATCTGTTCCTTCCCCTCGTTTTCCTCTTTTTTTATTTTATTTCCCTTGAAGACAGCATGAGCATGTTGTTCTCTTGCTGTCCTTCTGGCAAACCTCATCTCCAGATATTAGGGTATTTTACAGGGCTGTGAACAAGTGCAGATGCATGAACTGGTACAACGGCACAGAAAAACAACATTATTTTTACATAAAACTACAATATGTAAATGAGAGCCCTGACATAAAATAACTCCATTAAAGAATTGACGTAATTTAAACCTAATTTCTTGGAAACTACAAACAAACTCACATTATGTTCTCAAAGCCAAAATTACACTAATAGAGGAAAACTATGTGTAAACACATCCAGACTTGAATAATCTCTACTGTAAGCTCCTGCTGAGATGGTCATTCACAGCTTAGTGTAAAAGTAAAAACAGACATATCACAGCCCAATGACGGTTAATTATGCTTAACACCGATGCTATCTGCACCTTTAACGTATTCACTGTTTGACTCGGGGCCCGGGGCATTGGTGGTTATCATGGAAGAGAAGCTCAGACATATGTGTCCGTGTACAGGCGACCAGATGCTGACTGTTTTTAAAAGCCGGTGCCATTAGCTGGCTCCAATTGCATTCTCTGGATGCGGTGCTGCCTGCTGCCTGAGGGTGAACGCTATTTGGTTTAATATGGAGAGACAAAGAGTGAATACAAGATTCGGGCTTGTGAAATTTGTTGTTTGCACACAAATGCCAAGGATGACAATAATGACATCAGATAAAACATTCCCCAGTAACTGTGGTGATTATGAGATTACTCATAGATTATTTACATTAGTCCACTTGGGCTTCATCTGACTGAAATTCTAACTCTTACACATGCTAATCAGCACAGTATGTTTCTATTGTTATTACTTTGAAATAGTAGTAATGGTTTACCAGAGAGACTGACATATGGAGATAATCTTATTTGGAGAACAGAAAACAACATAGACGGCGATCAGAAGGCTTTGCCACCAATCTTTAGACAGACATGACTATCTTTGTGTGTTTTCCAATCCCTTTTATAAATGTTAGATGCATCTATGGCTATACAGTATTTGTCAAATAGACTGATAATGTAAAATGGAAAAAAACAATTAAACCAAAATGTTTTTTATAGTAAATCTAAACCCACTGAGATGTCTGAAATGTCTGCAAAATATCTACCAGTCAGTATAAACACCAGGAGGAGACACCGGGGTGTAAAATTAATCATGTGAGTATTATGAAGGAAAGATTCTGTCTGTACGTGGGTTTTGGTAAGGGCTGAAAAACGTCCACAAAAATGCCCTGGGTCTCCCAGATCTGCTCCTGAAAAATTGCTTCAGGCATGTTTGGACTTTCCCTGCCCATAGTTTGCGTCCAAACCAAACACAGAGCAGTGGGCAGTATTTAACCCTGCCTGCAGTCGGTAGCAGCGGCAGTTGCTGGTCTGTGTAACAGAGGAAGCTCATTTTGGGCCCAGTTTAGTTTTATTATAAATTCTGCTGTGCATGATAAAAGTGAACAATGGTATAAATAAGTTGTGATAAATGTGGAAAAAAATGTAATTAATCAAATAAATAAATAAAAAATGCGCTCATGGGCAGAATACTAAGTACCGTATTTCATTTGTTTTGTCATAATATTTCACTAGCTAACTGTTCATCTGATCATAATGTAGTAACTCAGTTTCTATGTCCACTCAAGGCTGTGCGCCAAGGAAGCCATGTTTTTGTTGCATTTATCCAATCAGCATCTAGATGAGGCATTAAAGACAAATAATCCAAGTAGAAACATTTTCAACACAATCTGAAAATTCTCTATGTAAAGGTTATCACTGTGAAGAAATGACCTGGATTAGTGCTGGGAAATGAAAATGAAGTGGGCAGCCATGACGGCGCCATGAACAAACTATTTGTGATTAAAATATTAATGAAAGAATGAATTGAAGCCATTTTTGTGCCTTCCTGACATTTTAATCACATATTTGTAGTATTTGTCTCTAACCAGACTGCTGTGTTTGTTTCCAGACGCTAAAAACATTCCTTCATCGGATGCCAGTGAAGTTTTGTTCAACTGTAATGTAATAATTTATTTCCCTCACTATGCAGCCATTACCTAACTATGCAGAGCGTCTCAGGGATGTGGAGACACTCACGCTGTACTTTAGTGTGGGCGGCTCATAAGACAAGCCCGAGGCTTTGAAGTTTTGCTGTTTATTAATTAAAGAAGCTGAAAGTCCCCTGTTTGTACGTGTCCCTGTGGTTGTCTGCTGCGCTGATCTGAGAGCTCTGTGCATGATAGTGGTCGTGATGAGGAGGGGCTCACCAGTGATGGACCCACAGGAAAATGAGCTGTAGCTGTTACCACATGGCTGGCCCATGTCTGCTCAGCTAATGTGGGCCAATGAGAACAGATTCACGTGTCGCCATGCAGGGAACATCTTGAATACAAATGCTTTCAAGATGACTTTGGAAAATTTGCTCCGCTTTCCACGCTCAGCATTAATAGAAAACAGTTTCTTGATTGTATAAATAAGCACATTAACATGAAATTGTGCCCACATGCAGATGATGTAGCGCAATCACTCTGACTCTCCTCTTTTCGAGGCTGACCTATCAGCAGGTGGGACCATTCTGAACAGAACCCGTCTGCTGTGTAGGTCATTGTCAGAGGAGAACACAATCACACAAGCTCCAAATGATGATCATGACAAGAAATATTATCAATTCCATCTTGTCAACAGAAAAGCATAATAAAATATATTTAATTGTCAGAGGAGAACACAATCACACAATGATCTTTTGACTTTCTATAAATAAAAATATTTTTAATATGTCATAAGAACTTTCTAACCCCAGATTATTGATTATCCAAATAACAATGAGTCTGATGGGTTACATCCGAAATCTCTCTGCTATAACAGTAAAAAGTACTGTGAGTACTACTAGGCAACACTGTGTAATGATAGAAACAATCAGAAACCCCTCCAAGTCTTTTGTATATACTCCATTCATCAACAGAAACAACAAGTATTTTTCATGTCTCAAAAGCAATTGTGCGTAAGGCAAACATTGTAAATGTAGAGTCACAGAGGAGTTTTACACCTATTCAGCGGCGTGTGTGAGCACCTTTCACAGCAGTGTGAATATAAAAGATGATATATCTAAATATAAAAGTTTTAGCACACATCTGTAACTGGGGGGCAGCCTATCGTGTTTCCATGTCTTACGCTGCGTCCATGTTATGTCAAGACCTTTCTCATTCCAAAACACATCTAAGCCCAAGGTATATGCAGTAATATGATACCATCAACAACACAGTTAATTAACCATGTAAGGATACGGTCGTAATGAGAACCAGCCGTCTTTGTGACCCCGGTGCGAACTCCAAACCTCAGTAGGGCATAATACTTCATTCACCCTGGAGGCGAATCAGATAGACTCTGCTTCTCACTCCACCGGAGTTGAGGCGTGAAGAATCCAATATCTGCCAAGTTCTATTTCTCCTCCATCTTGGCCACTGGACACTGTCATTCAACTGAACTGTGCAGTTCTTTTAAGTTGAGTCCAGGGACTACATATAAAAATGGACTATATATATAGTTATGTATTGTTATTATTATTCTACATTTTAAAATCACAAAATAACAATTTCCATCCAGAGTATGTGGGCCACATCTGTTGTAATAGCAAAATAACAATTTCCATCCAGAGTATGCGGGCCACATCTGTTGTAATAGTATTAAGCCTTACTAATGTTACAGTTGGGAACGTCTTCATTGATTTCCCAGCACAGATGGCTGCTCATTCCATCATCAGACACATGTTGGCTGTTTTCATATCAATTCAAATTATATTTCATCTGTCAGAACACAAAGTTGCCCCAACCTCTTCACAAAATTCAATTCTAACGGGTCAGGTTTCACATTCTAGCCTAAAAATAAAGCGTTGAATTTGGTAAAAAAAAAAGAAAGAAAAAAAGAGAGAAAGACTACAGTTACTGACAATAGCTGCAGGTTAGATTTATTTAGTTAGCAGTGCCAAACTACACCTGAACTCAGCCCTCCACCCCGCTTCTAAAAAAAAAAAAAAGTTTATTTTATTCCCACAGTCACAAGGTCAGAGTATGTGGTATGATTTCTGTGTGAATGCCTGCCACACAGGGTTTCTGTCATGTCCTTGGGGTTGAGCTGCCATTTGTTAAAGTGTGTGTTCTACTCAAGCTTTTGTGTGTGGAGACCCAGGCTATTTTAATAGGTGTTACCACAGCGTAGACAGACCATTGGCTTTGGGATTGGGTTTCCCTTGTGCCAACAGAAGTGGTTTAATTGTGTATACCTGAGCTTTAATCAATGCCAAAAATGTTAAACTCACATCAGGAATGTTGGCTATTATCCAAGGGACCTTGATGAAATTGCTGAAAATATCATGGTCAAGAATCCTCACAGCTTCCCAGCAGGTTTGGGTTACACTTTCAAAGAAATATGTGACATGTGAATGTGTCTATTTAGTGTAATATGGTGCTGAAATATGGTCTTTCACAAGAATACAGAAAATAAATTCTCAGTCTGGTTCATCACTATTTTTTTTAAACCCATTAATCTTCCCCTGGTAAAGAATACGTTTTAATTACTGCCTCAAAAAATAACTAATAACAAAAAACTTATATGATACAATTTCTGTTGTTGTCAACAAAAGTTTAAAAAAATATTTATGTCCATAGAGAAAAAACATCTTCTTCCAAAACTCAATCATGTTGCCAATGTTGCTGCGATCTTGGTGATAATGAAATATTCTAATATGTTTTTCTATTTCATAGTTAGTGTTATTATCATTGTTAAATGTTGCACAAAAATAGTTTTTATTGCTCTTTTAGAAACTCATAGATGCATAGATGCAAGAGGCTGTGACATTGATATTTAATTACATTTCTTTTTCAATTTATTTTCTTTATTGCTTCTTTAAAATATTTTCTTTTATTTTGACTATTGCAAAGTAGGTGG